TGTGTCAGCTTGAGCATCCCTCTGGCTTCCCATGGGCCAGGATGGGGATGCAAGAGCATCAATCCTCCCTGCTCACTCAGGTCCCACACCCATTGAATGCAAGACAGGCTTTTCACAGAGGTTTTGTATTTCCACATGAGTTTTTACAGCAGAAAGGAATTCCTTCATGAGCTCAGCAGCTCCTGAAGCTTCCACATCCCAACAGCAACCTCCAGCCCTGTGCTGTGGCTGTGGCACTGTGGTATGTCCCCCCAGAGCCCTCCTTGCTTCACGTGGGATGCCCACCCTGTAGGACCTGTCTGCCCCAGGACATCCTACCCGCCCTGCTGGCCTGCGCAGGGATCCCAAATGCCACTGTGACCTGGGAAGTATCACCTCTAAACCAGGATGAACCCCTGTGCTGCCCTGAGGTGTCCGAGCTGCTGAGCAGATAGAACCCAGCACATCCCAGAGGCTCCAGTGGCTTCCCCAGCTCCAGTCTCTGCTGCTGCCAGTGCTCCTGCCCATCCCAGGACCCCACCAGGTGCTGACTGTGCCTTTTGGTTCCCCAGGCGGAGCGAGGTGACTTCAGGCATTACATCATCCCCTTGCTGCACACCCTGATGTACGCCCTGATAAAGGTAACCGACCATGGGCTGCGCTGGGGCAAGGTCCGGGGGTGTCAGAAGCGACAGGAGGGGCCACCTGAAAACACTCAGCACCTATTCCTGTGCTGAAATATCCCAGCACCTGCCTGACAAAGCCCTGGAGCTACCACAGGTGGACTCCATTGCGTGTTTCCCAGTGTGCTGCTGGATGGCTGAGCCACTGTCACCTGTTACATGTCTGGGGGTGACAGGTCCTTCCAGAAGTCTCCCTTGTGTGGAGGTGTTTATTGTGCACGATGTTGCAACCTGGCAAAAAAACGTGTGCCCACAGCCCTTTGGTGGGTATGGCTGGAGGTTTCCAAACCATTGCAGGGCCTGATCCTGCTTCATATCATAGAATCATAGAATCATAGAATGGCCTAGGCTGGAAGGGACCTTAGAGATCATCTAGTCCAACCTCCCTGTTTTTTTGGGCAAGGACCAATATTGCATTTGAATCCATATAGGTAATTTGGCACAGCTCTGTACCCTCCTACCCCAGGGTCTGTTGTGGGGAGAGCACCATTAGGGATCACAGCCTGTGGCATCTCCTTACCTGCCCCTTTCTCCCTCCAGGCTCCCTGTATCTCCGATGAGCTCTGCGGCAGAGTCTATGACTTCTGTAAGAAGCTGCTTACCCTGCCCAAGCCTTTCTGCACAGTCGGTTTGGACTATGCCACCAGGCTGAAGATGGAAAGGATGGCACCAGGTAGGAAGGCTTCTGGGGTTCTGCCCGTGCCCGGCACGGTGCATTGCTCATGGCCTCGAGGCAACAGCAGTGGGGCTTCAGGGGGTTTCCACACCTGAGCTGGCCTTTGCCTAATGCAGCGAGTCATGGCAGGGATTTCTGCAGGGGCTGGCCAAATGCGTGGGGGTCTTAGAGATGCATTTGGGTGGGTGGGTTCCCCTCTCCTGATTTCAGGCTGCTAGGACTTTGTTACTAGCAAAAAACTTTGAGGTCCTCCTGCTATAGGCACCACCAGAGTCAAGTCAAGCCCACCTAAGGGCAGATATAGACACCCTCTGTCTATGTGGGAAACAGGGTGCTTATGCTGCCAGCCTGGGTGTCTCAGTAAATTTTCAGATGTCTCCTTTTTGCTAAGTGAAGTCTCCGTCTGAGATTGAGTTTCAGGCTGTCCAGCCTGAACTCTACTCGGAGAAACTCATGTACGGGCAAAACGAGAACTACAGCTCTCCCTCAACTACCTGTGCATCAGTTTTTAGACACCAAAACATCATTAGTTTCTGCAAAGAACAGTCCCTTTTAGAAAGCAACCCAGAGGACAACACTATTTTCCTTTTTCTCTGCATTTCTCATTAAAGTTCATGTTAAAGTTCTCGTTAATAAGAGTCTTTAAAAGCAATCTTTTAAAACAGTGCAACACGCACTGAGAAACCTCGTGGGAAATTAGAGAGAAAGGGCCACTCTTGGTAGTCTCAGCTCATCACCACCACCTTGATCACTCTTCCCCAGTACTGCTTTGCCCGGAGCTCCAAGGTCCACCTTTCTCTCCGCTGACTTCTGGTAAAACAATGATTCAGTGTGGAGAGATGGGGATCTCCAGCGAGGCTTCTCTCGGAGCACCACGAGGTTCACAAGATGATTGCACCTGAGCAGCATGGGGTGGATGTACTTTCCCCACCCCGGAGCTGGCTGAGGGTACAGTACATCTCTCCTGATTCAGAAACGCGTCGTGCTCTTTGTATCCACCCAGGAGTAGGGCTCTTCCTCCAGCTTCCGACTCTACTCCCAAGCTCATAATCCACTAAACAAAGGAAGGGAAATACAGGAAATTGTCCCTGAATAGAAGGGGTTTTCTTTTTATGTTGCATGGCCTATCTCTGTCCTTGACTATTTTTAGCTTCAGGTTTGATCCTTGACTCTTTGACATCATCTCTCCAGCAATGGGTGTTCACTGACTTGCCTGACCCACCATGAGCCTCTACAACCAGGAGCAGCTCTGCGCTGCTCTGGTGAGTTGTGTGATTATTTCTCCTGCTCTGACTCCTGCGTGTTTGTCTTTTTGTGTTTGTTAGGGGTGTTGTACCAAAGAATGGTCATTTCCGAACAAAGTCTCAAAAGCGACCCGTACCCTTATCAGGAAAAGTGAGTAGCACCTTTTCCAATGTGTTGTTACTTTTATTGCTTTTATGGTCTCCTAGTGAAATCTGTCCATTTCCTCACTCTGAATTAACGTCAGATGGAACAGATGATTTGCACCTAAACCATGTGGCAGTACATGGTCTTGGGAGACACAATTTGGTGGCATCTCAGTGCCTCGCTAAAGTGAGATTTGCACTTGTTAGAGCACATTCCTCCCCCGTGCCCCAATTTATTTCAGTGGTCCTGGGAGGCAGGGAGCTTCCCTTGATGGGAAGACAGAGCAGAGGAGAGGAATATCAGCAGCAACCCTTTTTCTCTGCACGGGATCATGGAGGTGTGAGCTGCTCGTGCCAGCCCTGATATCAGTAATGGGGAGTCCTCTTCCCGTCTCATCTCACTCTTCTCCCATCTGCCTATTCCACGCAGGATTTTCATCTTTGCTGATCCAGAGCTGCTCTCTGAAGCCATCTGCAACGCACTGGTCACCGACACGGAGGCAGCTCAGGTCTCCCAGAGCCCCCGGGCTTGCATGGGCTATGTGATCCTCCACGCCATGCAGGCAGCCCTGGGTGAGGGCTGCGACATCAGTGGCTTGAAGGCGAGACTCCAGGTAACCAGCAGCACTTCTGCAGCACCACAAGTGGTTTTTGAATGGTCCTGCTCTTGCCAGACACCTCAGAGCAGGGGAAGATTTTCTGGTAGCTGGAGAGACACCCTGGCCCAGCTATTCCCTCCCCAGTGTTACTTGCAAGGCTGGGCTATGAGCAGAGCTGATGTTAAAACTAAAAATTCTTCAAATATAAAAGAGTTGCTGCAGCAGGAGCCAGAGGTTTTGAATCTTCAGTTTGAGCCTTCAGTTTCGCACAACAAAGCTGGGCTCAGTGGCTACGACACAGGCTCCTCTGTGAGCTGCTGATCATTGCAAAAATACCTCAGTGGAAATGTTGCAATCAGTTTCTCCAAAATATTCCTCAAGAAGAGCTGTGAGGCCACAGAAAGGCAAGTGTCTGGCTCAGAAAGAGAACCTTGCTGAGGCACTCAGTGTTTTTCACCCCAAGGACATCTTTGTGTGTGTCTGCTGTCCCCATGCCCTGAGGGTTGCATGAGCTGCGAGCTCTGCTCCTGATTCCCCAAGGTCGTGGCAGCTGTTAGCACACTGCCCATCAGCTGCAAAATAACCAAAAAAACACCCCTTCAAGCAGGCAGTACAGCCAGCATCACTCCTTCTCCAGCCTTTCCTGGGGAGAGGAGGACATTTGCGTCCTCCACTGTGAAATGACAATTTTTGCAAGACTCATTTGCCCTCTTTCTGCCCCTTCCCACGGCCCTGCCCATGGAGCAGCTCCTCTTTTCAAGCCTCCGAGTGCTAACAGCTGCTCCTCACGACAGGATATGCCCACGAGCGATGTCGAGCACTGGTTCCAGCAAGTGGTGTCGGCAGTCGAGTGCACCGGACACGAGCCAGACCGCGGCCAGCACGTGGCGAGGCTGGAGAAGATTTACCGCGCTGTCCTCAGCTGCTTGCGAGCAGGTGAGCTCCCGGCAGCCACGCTGGGTTATGAGAGCCATGCGAGCTCCAGGCCTTTCCCTCATCGCTGCGTCCTCCCTGTTGCCCTCCTACAGCTGTCCGTCCCTACCTCCCGTCTGCCTCGGCTTTACCAGTGTGCATCTCTGGGATCAGATCCTTGCAGCCTGGCTCCTTGTAGTGACCTCTTTCTGTGGCAGCAGAAGGCAGGTCTGTCACCTGAGGAAAGGGTCTGCAGCAATGTCTGCTGCTAATTCAGCTGCCCTGAGACCCAGGGACATGCCTCCATTGTTTGCAAAGGGTGCCATGGGTGTCAACCGGAGGAGATTGGGCAGACTCTCTGCTGCTATAAGATCTATCCTGCCATGGCTTAGACTGAGGGGACACCGTGCACTCCTCCCCGAAACCTTCTTGTACTGATATGGTGGATAGCAGTGCTGTCATCTCCTTCCATCCCTGGAGGTTCTATTGCAGCTGCACAGACTATAACAACCATCCCCATCCATCACAGCTCCTCGCACAAATCTGGAGTAGACCAGAGGAAAATTAGGGTCATTTACCTCCTCCTGGCTACTCCTGGTAGAAAGTTTCTACATCCCCATACCCTCCCCAGACAGAGCTGGAGACTGTCCCAGTGCAAGATATGGGGAGGAACAGCCAGTGGTGCAGGGAGAGGAGTGTGACCATCTCTTTTTGGGGGCAGCGAGCTATTAAATTTTCTTACTGCTTCTACCAGTGCCGTAACTGGTTAGAAATAGCCAGTGATGGTGGGGTCAGTGGGCTCCCTTGCGTCTCAGGAAGTCTTGCCACATGGACTGGAGATGTTGCTGGAAGGCTGTTTTATTTATTCCGCAAACCCTCTGCTGTCTACAGCAAAGCAAGGTCCTTTCCTTTCCCATGCCTTAGTTTCCCCACCTTAATTTCTCCTTTCCACCGATGGTGTAGCTACCGTCTTCTGGTTCAGTTTGTGAGAGCAGAGGTCTGTGATTACAACCTCTGAGATGACCACAAGCCAACCAGTGGGAAAGCCCCTGAGGCTCAGCATGGGCTACCTCAGCCATTGTCTGAAGCACGGCAGCAGTGGGGGTTCGCGCGCCTGCACGGAAAACCTGCTCCTGTGTGTTACAAGCACCCTTGTTTGCCCCAGGTGATGCTCCCCTGGGAGGGCTGCAGGGCACTCCTCTGCCCAACCCCAACATCAGCTTTCACCTCTGGACAGAAGATGACCAGCTCTGTGAGTGACCCAGGGGGAGCTGTGGGGAGTTTGGGTGGTGCCTGAGCCTGGCAAGCCTGTACCTGTCCTTCACCCCTGATTCTGGAGCACTGAGCTCATAACCATCGCCCAAGGGCCAAGCTCGTGGAGACAGGTGCTGACTGCGCCAGCCTTCCTTCTTGTGGGATGTTATGGTCAGATCAGGGGATTAGGGGGGAGAAGGGTGAAGGAGATGAGGAGAGGACCCTTCGTTGGGGAGTAGGAGGGGGTTAAGCTGCAGCAGGATATGCCCAGCATACCTGATTTGCATGATCCTGAGCTCTCTTCATGATGCAAAGGGAAGTTGGACTGGAAGGCTGACTTCTCTTGGACCTGCTGGTGCAGGTATTGGCCTTGTGGTTTGCATAAAAAGAGGGAAGCTGGGGCAGGACTAGGGCTTAGACTGGTTCTGGTTGTTTTTATTTCCCTCCTTGAACTCCTTTCTACCCACAGGGAAGGAACTGGTGCTGTTCATCCGCCCGCTGTCACAGAGCTGCGAACCTGACTGCCTAAGCCAGGACCTGGACAACTTTGAGATCCAGGACATCATTTCCGACTGCGAATGCTGTGAGCAGACCCGCTTCTCTGTGCTCTCCACCGACAGCGGCATCGAACGAGACCTGCCCGCAGCAGCTGAGGAGCCCTTCGCCCTTTGCAGCACCGAAACGGAGCAATACCGACTCCACAGAAAGGGTGGCATTAAAAAAAAGCCGTCACCGCTGGAGAGCGTGGCCTTCTTGCAGGCTGGCTGCAACGGTCCGGGGGTGAAACCCCCGGCGAAGCTGCAGAGGAGACCGGGCACCCCCCTGGACGCTGTGACCCCACTCCAGAGGCTGCACACTGCCCGCATCGTGCTGCTGGGGGACGACCGGGTCCTGGGGCGCCTGGCCCAAGCCTACCACGCTTTGAGGTAACCGGTGGCCACAGCCTCTTTGGCCCTGGGGGCTTGTGGGGAGGGAGGACCGAGTGCGGGCTTTGCTCTTCAGCCTGTTGAAGCAACCGAGATGGCTGGGGACGTGGTTGGGCTCCTGCATTCCTGGGTCAGGATGGGACCCAGGTGTTTTGCAGCCAAAAACATCTGACTTCATCGTCTTTGTTTGGCTCTGTTGGCCCAAAGGATGCACACAGCGAGTTTTTCCCTTCTGTCTGTGGAATGGGATAACTGAGCAATAAATGAGGCAATACGTTTTCCTGCACAAAAGAGAAAAGTCCTTAAGAAAGCTGTTTTCCAGCTGCTTCTTTCCAGCTGGTTCACCTTAGCCAGGGGAGCAACATGGGCTGGGGCTGGGTGGCGGTGCAGGCAGCAGCTTAGGGAGCAGACCTGGGTGCAGATGGGAATAATAGTCCCCACCACCAGCCCTGTCTGTGGGGTCACTCCTTGCCCCCTCATCTCCCCTTGCTCGGTTTGGGGCATTACTGCCACCCTGTCACACTGGGCGAAGCACGTGGCTGAAGAGGGCATGTGCTCCTGTCACAGAGCAGCTGCAGTCTCCTGGCACTGCCCAGCCTTGGCCAAGAGCCATGTTCTTCCACCTTCCCCTTGTGACATGGCTATTTACTTTTCCATTTCAAGGAAACGAGAAACACGTCGAGTTTTCCTGACTCCCAGGCTGAACCTGCAGTTCTACTACATCCCGGTTGTGATGGGGCAGACAAACACTTTGGCTGTTACGGTGAGTCTGGGCTCAGCAGCTCTGGGCCCTGCTGCCTGCCGCCAGCAGCTGATGGTGCTTCTGGAGGAAGAGCAGGGGGTAGATTACAGGAATTTGCATCCATTAATGCCTTCTTCCCGAAACAAGGAGGATGGGAGCCAAGGCAGGGTGGCTGGGCTCAATTTGCACGCTGGTTTCAGGAATCCATCAGTCCCAGAGACATTCACGTTGCTCCAACCACCCTGATGGATAATAGCTCACAGCCTAGACGTGGTATTTGGTTTTGTCTCTGTGCACCAACTACAGGAGGATTGAAGGAGCTCAGAGAAGGACTAATGCTTTTCTTACCTCCCAAACGCTTAGAGGAAGCAGCTGCCCCTCACTGAGGGGTTTGCCTGCTTGTTCATGGCCCTAGTTTAAGTTCTGCAGTCACTACCTTGCAGTTTATCTTGGGCACATCTCTTCCCCTCTGACAGCCTCAAGACAGCAATAAATAAGCACTTCTCACAGTATTTTAAGCTGGCCCAGAGCTGGCTGTGAGTCTTGACAAATATGCCACTTATTTTTCAAGCAAGGAAGGGGATGAGGGAGCTGCTCACGGAGCATTCATGCCTCAGCTCCCTCCACCTCCTCTACGGCCCCTGGTATTTTGAGCCACGATCATCCTGAGCTGTGTGTTTCTCCCCCAGGATCACGCTGCCACCAGCCAAGAGGAGCTCTGCGAGGTGGCCGGATACCTGGGCAGAGCCGACCCGTGGTACGAGAGCAACATCAACACGCTGTGCCACATGATTCCCAAGCTGGCCACCATGGTACGAGAGAAACCTTCCCACCTCCCCAGCCTGGCCCATTTCCCAAACTCACCTGCAGTAGCTGAGGACGAGCTTGGGCCTCCCTGAGTTCCTCCAGGCCCCAGATAGAGGCTTTCTCCCTGCCAGCGAGAGGCTTTCTCCATGAGAGAGGCTTTCTCCATGCCAGGGCACTGCAGCTGGGAAGGTGCATGTGGCTGACACTGCCCCAGCCCACAAGAGCCACTTGCTGTGATGGGTTTTTTTGGCCAAGTGACAGGACATGGCAGATTTCAAGAAAGAAAATGTAAATTAGATGTTTGCTGTAATACCCCCAACTAGCATTTCCCAGCAGTATGAGCCACCATTGACAGCCTGCAAAAAAAGGCTGTTAGGTAGGTGTAAGCCTTCACTGCTGCTCCTGTCTGATTTGACTAGAGAGAGCTGCCCTGGGTGATGGCTCATTGCTCGTTACTTATCTGGGAAGGTGTGAAGGTTCGTGGCACTGCTTTTGAGAAATGACTGTGGCATGATTTGCTCCCTCCTCCAGCCTTCCTCTCCGAGCAAACATCTTGTAACGGATCTGTTCATCACCGATGTGATCGCTTACTATGTCCGCATGGGCACCCAGCCCGTCTGCCTCCAGGTCTATGCTGTGAAGGTGGGTGTCAAATCTCTTGTGCCTTCATGAGGTCCTGTAAGGAGTTGTAGAGCCCCACTGCTGGCAGAGTTCTACAAAGTCAAGGGGGTCTGGGAGCCTTCAGCAGGTGTGAGCCTGGATTTCCATGCTCCCTGGCCTGTCCCCTCCTTCCCAGGCTCCTGGGTCTAGTGCCTCCATGTAGCACAGCTCAGCTGGAGTCAGTGATGCTGGGAAACCTGTCTCAGGATGGCACAGGTCAGCAAAGAGAGCCTTGAAATTACCCTGTAAGGACACAGATTTCCTGCTCCACTGGGTTCAGGTTGGCTTAGGAGCTCTGTCACATCCTGGTGCTTTAGATGCTCTGGGCAAACAGGAGTTTTCTAAGTGACTTTGCCAAAGCCTTGCCGTAACTTGCAGGGCTTTTGCAGGGCTTCCTGAAGCACCATTGTATTTATTTCCTGCCAGCTCTTCTCTGAAATGGTACCAGAGCAAGGCCTGGCATTTGATATGAGAGCGAAAAGCTGCTGTATTTGGTCATGTAACATCAAACCCCCCATCTGCTCCTCTGGCAGTTTACCCTCTTCAAAGCTCAGGGTGCCACTGATGCACATATCGCCTTTTAATCTACTCTACTGCAGCAGAGCAGCAGCCATGGCATGAGCAAACTGGCACATGGTTTGCAAAGAGCTGGAAGAGCTTTCTTAATTGCTGTAGAGAATCACCAGGACCTGAATTAATTAACACATGGCTTGTGAACACTAGTCCTCAGCTCATGTGGCTGGGGATTCTGATGTTTTATTTTGGTGAATTTTTATTCCACTCATTTCTCCTCCAAGACAAAAATCAAAAGAAAACAAGAAAGTGGGTGACTCAAGCAGGGGAAGAGGAACTGACTCCAGATGCGGTTTTCAGATAGAGGCACCTAGCCAACCCTGTTCTCATAGAGGGCGTGATGCTGCTTCATCTGGAAATGCTAAGCCCGTTTTGCCTTTTTGGTTAAGACCACACTGTTCCTCTTTGGCTGCAGAGGGTTTTCCTGGAAGTGAGGGTCATGTCCCACAGGAGCTGACCATAGGTCTAGGACTGGCTAGGAGAGGTTCTCCAAGACCTTATCTTCACATTTTTGCTTGAAACAAGCCCATGAAAAGAAAATAATTGGTAGGTCTGAAGTGACCAGTTGATTCAGGTGTATCAGACAGGACCTAAGCCAGCAGCCGCAGTCAGACCTGGGAAGCTGCTTCCCTAGACTTGGGCTGCCTGTGGGTGGGTGGCTGGGAGCAGGCTCATCTGTGGATGTGCAGTGACACCCAGTGGCAGGGGACACCGCTCGTGGCTGTGTTGGCCAGATCCACCCGCCTCCTCATGAGGGCTGCCACGCTCCTGGGCTTCAAAAAGCAGAGCAAGAGCAACTCTTTCCATCCCACAGGCCTTCTGGCTGCCATGACAAGGTCATAGGTTCCCTCTGATGATGTCACACCTGAGGACTCTGAAGAAGGTTTTGATGTCACAAGCCCAGTGTGACACCACAGGCTGATAGGAGGATCCATTCTTGGAGTTCTTCCTTTCTTTCAGATTTTCTTCAATGACCCGGCACAGGAGCCGGCCGAGGACGTGTTCCTCACGGAGCTGCGCACCCAGGTGCAGGAGAGCATCGCCCACAAAGGTGTGTGAGTGCCCCCAGGCTGAGCCCTGCAGCAGGGGCTGCCATCCTGGATGGGTGTTCCACCGGCCCCGGTTCCCACATGTCCTGTTCCTCAGCTTGCAGCAGTCAAGGCCATACCATGGGGCAATGTCTCTTGCTCCCTGATGAGCAGGAGGCTTCCCTAAACCTCTCCATCTCCCTCTCGAGTGCATGACATCAGGCTAAATGGGAGACCTTTTAGTCACTGGCTCCTGGTCTCAACCAGGTTTTGTAGGCTGTGCCTTCGGTTGGTGTCAGAACCCTCTAAAGTTGGACCAGCCCCGTTACTTTTTTGAGGAAACAAGCTGGGCTTTACACGGGAGGACCCCTCTCTGCTGATCACAGACAGTGGGGATGAGTGAAACCTCAATCCTACTCGGTTCCCTCCTTGCAGAGTTAAGCATGACCAAGAAGAAAACGACCCTGGATGGTCCTGGCATAGATCTCACAGTAACATACAGAAAGGTAAGTGGGGCTCTTGGCAGTCAAAAATGTCCCCGCTCACAGCACGGCACAGATCTGAAGGCAGTGCTCTGTCCCTCTTTCTTTCCTCTGGAATCACCCTCCAGGAGGGGACAGAAAAGTCGTGGTGAACTTTAGAAGCCTGTTAGCTAACCCTGCATTTGGGAAAAGCTGCTCCCAGATTTCCCCATGTCTAATCTCTCTGCCAGTGTGAATTACCAAAGCCTTTCCTGCAGGTTGTGGTCAGTGACCGGGCGAAGGAACTGGCTATGTCCCTGCGCTCCACAGGTCTGGTGATGAAAGCCATCCCTGCCGACGAGGCTGAAGGTAGATTCTTCCTACTTGGAACCACGTGAAAAGGATTTGCTGAGTTTTCTGGTGCTTGGTAGAGTAAATCTGACCGTTGCACTTGGTGCCAGTTGTGCCTGAGCTGTGGGGATTGGATTAGTGCCGTGCATATAGTGGTGTCACCACAGTCTGTGTTGTGTGTTTTCTCATGAACAACGTGCTCAGGGCTCCCTCTAATATCACGTTCAGCATACGCGAAGTCTAGGGTAAGCAGCATGTTCCTCTTGCTTCAGCCTTCCTCTTTCACCTTGCCCTTAGCATAGCGTTTGAGGTTTCCACTCTGAGCATGATCCTACGCAAACCCTTAGCCTACGGAGCTTGCTAGAGGCCTCCTTTTCAGCTGCCCTATGTATCCATCAGGTCCCTGGCGGCGCACCCAAATGTAGAATGTGGCATCAGCCCCACGGTAAACCGACCCGAGATTGTGCCATGGTCTAAAGCTAACACTCTGCTTCTGTTGCAGACCTGGTGTGTCTGAACGTGAACATCACTGAAATCATCAGGATCAACAATTTGTCAGGACGATCGTTCTCGGTAAGGAGCTGTGGATGCTTGCAGTCCTGGAGGGATTGCCCAGTGCGTGGAAATACCTTAGAGCAACGATGAAACACTCTGTGGGGAGAAGACTTTGGGGCCACCCTGCTCAGAGAGTGTTTTGCAATTACTTTCCATGAAAAGGTCCACTTTTTTGAGCCAGAGCCCCAGATGCCATCCCTGCTGGGCAATGCACATTGAATCTTGTCTCAGGAGACCCTGAAGGACCGAGCTGATGCTGGGGTTATTCTGTGACCCGAGACAAAGGGGAGGAAAAAATGCTTAGCCCCAGTCATTGTGGCTCCATTTGGGTACGGGAGAGGGTCTGTGTTTTTCCGGCCAAGTCCATTGCCTCCACATGTCCAGCTGCAGGGCCCTCCCCAGACCTCATGTGTCAATCCCCACAGAGCTCATGAAAATAGAGACTGTCAGAGAAATATTTTACCAAAGCAAAACCACAAAGCAGGAACGTCAATGAAAGACTGAAATGCAAGAGATGGGACTGAAAACTTGGGCTCTTGTCCTTTTTGTTTAACGTGAGAGTTCAAGCAGACCCCAGAGGACACACTGCCCCATGGGAAAATGTTGCTGCAGTTTAGGTGGCCTTTTGTCATTTGGGCCCTGCAGCCTCTAGTGTCTCAGCTTGTGTTTTTAGCTAGCCAGCACACTTTTGCTTATTTTCACCTGGCTTTTGGAAACACCAAGCTACTGCAGCCCACACTACTCAGCAAACACACCACAGCCCTGGAGAACAGACCATGCCCCACATCAGACACCTCAAGCCTTGCAACCTGTGCAGGCATTGCCAGTTTGGAAAGTTTGCCCTTGCAAAACTTGAATTACAGAAAAAGATCAGGAGAGATACTTTCCTCCTTAAAGAATTAACTTTGTGCCACACCTGAGGTTAAAAAAAAAAAAAAAAAAGGAGAAATGTCACCATTTGTCCCTTTCATGCCCGGTACACGTCCCACTCATCACCGTGCAGCCAAGGGAGGGGAAGCACTCACTGGGCTCGTCTTCCCCTCTCATTGCAGGCTGTGGCAAACAGATTGAAAACACGTGACATCAAAATCAGGAGCACGGAGCAGAGACCCTTCACTGTGTGTCTGGACAAGGACAGCAGAAGAACCTATAGGAATGTGATCAGGTGAGAACACCACACGTGCTGTGCTCTGTGCCTCTTGCCGGGGTGCTTGCGCCCCTTCTGAGGTGGCAGAGCTGTTTCCCAGGGAGGCTTGATCCTCATATATGACAGAAGGCCCACGGACAAACATATTGCTCCTCCAGGGAAGCCCACCTTTAGGTTTTCAGGTGATGATTGTGGGGGAAAAACCGGTTCTTCCATTTTAATTAAGGTGTGGCCGTTAAAACAGTGAAGGGATAGGTACCTTGTCTTAGAGATCTTATATCTTCTTAATTATATCATGGAGCCAATGCTCTCTCCGCTGAGCGCATTCCTCATCAGGGTGTCTCAAGCATATGAAGGGAGGAGGAGAGAATTCAGCCCTGTGGAAAGAGCAAGGATCCATGTGCCTATAGTAGTTGCAGAGACATGTGATGTGTTGGAAGCAAACGTGTTGTTCCAAGTCCACAGACCACGCAGTAACATACCTAAAATGCATGTTACCAACTGAGCCAGGCTAAGGACACTGGTTTCGTGGTCAAACACTAATACAGCTCAGCTCACCTTTCCAGCCAAAACCAGTTGAAAAAGCAGAAAAGCAGCTGCACCGTCTGAATACGACAGCCCTCCCTCAGCAGTTGGTGGAGGGACTTGATACTTAGTTTGAGATCAGACTCTGACCCTCACAGGTGGAGTTGCACATAAAGTAAATCTGTTTTTGTGCTCTTACAGCGTGGAAGTGTCCCCCTGCCTAGAGCCCAGTTACTGCTTGCAAAAGACCAGAGCAATGAAATTGAGCTTGCACGGAACAGAAGATGTGGGGCTTGCGAAATACATGCCCAAGTCTCTGCTGCTGCCTATCAACACGTTTGCAGGTGTCATCCAGTGAAGAAAATGAGTAAAAGCTGATGTGAGAGATGTGACATTGGATCATCACAGAGGAGACAGAAAAAAGAAAAGCCACCAACAGTGATTTTACAATGGTACTGGTGTAAAAAGCTGCGACAGCAGGGATGGCTGGGGCTCAGGGAAGACACCTGTAAAACTGAACGACAGTGGCAACCACAGCTAACGCTCCCCTGCCAAGGGGCAGAGCGCTGCTGAAGAACTGAGTTTTAATTTTTTGCACAAGTCAGGGAAAACCTTTGGCCTTCTTCACTTGGGGAAGACCTGGGAAAATACAGCTGAGGTGATGGCACTCGCTGTGCTTGTGGATCACAGAGCAGTCACTATCAGTAATATTTATTACAGTAATGTCTCACAGCCTGGTGGGGGATCAGGTCCTGTTGTGCAGGGTTCTACACAGGAAACTTCATTCTGGCACAGAGTGATATGCTGGGGCAAATCAGCAATTATTGCCCTGACTGGTTTAGGAAACATCATTCTAAGCCTGACCATAACTGGGAGAGCACACAGCTTCTGTGGAAGTCAGTGGAAAACCCACTGTTGTTTCAAAGTCGCGGTGAATGGTGTGAAACAGGGACACGGGAAATTAAGTGCAATATTTGGCAGTGATGAGCAGGGTGAGGACAGCTCAGGCTGAAGAAGCCTTCACTGAGCACACAACAGGGGCTGCACAACAGCCCTGACGCCTGAGCTGTACCCTTGAGTCCACCCAGGATTTCGCTGTAGCTTTGCTACACAACTTCTCCACATCTGGCCCGGAGCCTCATGAGCGCCGGTTGTGCTCCTCCAGTTGTACATCCTGGGAACAACCACTTACAACCCCAGCAGCAGTGAACCTCCTCTGGGAGGTCAGCAACACCTCTGCCTTCGGTCTGTTGGGTCTGCGTTTGCCGCCGTGGGTAAGGGATTTCAAAGAGTGGAGTCGTGCTCCAGGGATTGATGGATGGGCAGGATGCCTGCAAGACTTCTTCGTTCCTTTCTTCTGCTGCTACCACAGTGTAGAAACCCTCCTCTGATTTGCAGATGGGCCAGGCTGTGGCAAAAGCACAGCTCCTGATTCCACTGGGTTCACACTGACCCGGCGTTAAGGATAATGGTATTGGAGGACCCTCTCTTCATTCCAGTTTGTCACTGACTGAAATAACGGGAGAAACAAAGTGTGTGTTTATTTGCTTTCTAAATGTCATCTATGGTTTCTGGAGTGTCTCCGAGGAGTCTTCCCTAAATTCATGTGGGAGGGGATTTGAGGGCATTCCTTCTATGACACTACCATTTTTTTATTCTCTTGGCTCCCAGGTAACTCCCTACCTGGGCTGCCTTCACTCGGGATGCTTCCTGGGATCAAGAACCCAAAGAAAGTGTCCTTTAGCTTTGTGTCCGTGCATAGCAGCTATTGCCCATCATCTCTGGCTGTCACCGATGGGGAGTCCCTGGAGCCAGCTCTGTGCTGCAGCGTGCTGCTGTCCCAGCTGCAGTGGCATTGGCAAACCCCCGCGTTAGCCCTGACAGCTCGGGACAAATCCACCCCTCTGTCCTGTCTGTGCTGCCTCTGCCCAGCCCTGAGGAGCTGCACCTCTGGAAAGTCACTTCGGTTTAACCAACACTGGAACAAGGAGCCCACCTTCCAAGTAACTCAGTCTGGGGTACGGGAGGTGTGTTTCCTTTCCACAGAACTTGGAGCTTGCAGGTTGTCCAAGGAGCCCCTCACTCCCAGCTGAGCTAGGCACTGCCCCCAAGCTTTAACATCCCACCACAGGAGTCACGAGGCTGCAAGATCTCAGCAACAACGTTCAGTTCTTCAGCACTTTTCACCCCACAAGCCACAACTGTCGATGCCCAGCAATGCCAGACTTAGGCAGCAAACGTTTCAGGCCTGAAGGAAGCTGAAGTTAGACAGGAGACTCAGAAACAAGTCAGGAAATGTCTGCCTGCACCAGCTGTTTCCCTCTGTGAGCTACTAAGGTAACACAGGGTTTAAGGGGTGACCAGTAGCTCTTCACACCTCTCCCTCTTTGGGTCTTCACTAGGGTGTGTGTTTACCCTGGCACACAAGGCAAATGCTTACAAAGCCAAAAGACCCCGCACTGGGTTGGAGCGTGGTCTGTCCAGTTTACTCTGTACAGTTGTAAATGATGTAGATGGATTATAAGTTATTTGTATAGGTGGCAGAGATAATCTGTATCAGAAAGTGCAATCCTTGTAATGCCAATTAAACAAAAAAACAGAGGGAACCCAGTAGAAACTGTCAGTTTGGTTGGGGTTTTACATTTGCATGTAGCTGGGGCCTGACCAGCCCCAGGAGCCGCACTGACTGACTTCTCCAAGGGATTTATGAGGTGCCTGTGATCAGAGAGGGGTGGATCTGGCTGGTGACCTGTGAGCAGGCAGGGGAGGGATGCTGCAGGGGACCCCAGCCAGCCCTTGACACTGATAGGGAGGGATGGAAGGAGCTCTGAACCCTGAGCAAAGCGTCTCAAACAAAACCCAGTGCCAGCCCAATGCCTTATTCCACCGCAGGACCTGCTCTGAAAGCAGGGAGGCTCTTTTGTAGAGGGGAGGGCTGGGGAGTGCCCGGTGCCAGGCACTTGCCTTGCCTGGAAACACCTAGTACAAAAAAGGGAAAGCGTTTCCTCTCTGCTCTGTGATCAGGACGGAAGCTTTTGGTTCTAAAAATCCATCCTGACTCTGAATTGAGGCGTTTAGTGCTTTTTTTTTTTTTTCTTCTCCTATATATTAGGAAACATCACAGCAATCCACATCTACTCCTGGGACCTGAACCAATTGGGAACATTTCTGCCATCACTTTAGGGAAAAAAACCCATCACTTCTGTCCCTTTACTTTGTATGGATAAAACCAAATAACCGTAAGGACGGAAAAGGAGTGTTGGTGTGCCCAGGAGGCGTTAATTCAGCCTTCGGGCCGGGGCTCGCAGGGAAGCAGTGGAGTCGCCATCCCTGGAG